CAGGTCAGTAAGGGGTAGGGGTGGGAATCACCAGGCTCCCCACGATACGATAGTATTGCAATTCTACGATATGCTAAGTATTGCGATACGATATATTTCGATATTGCAAATCACATGGGTCATATCCATGTCCGTCTTCCCTTCCTGGTTAAAAATGTATTTGCAATATGAATAGTTTATGTAAATAACCCAATTTGTGTCTTTTGAACCTGAAAAGCATTGTTTTTGTTACTTTCATTGCTATTGTTTACATTTCTATAATTTAACTCAACTTCCTGTTTTATTTAGACATGCTTTTATTTAGAAGGCGACTTTGCGCTATTAACAGGAAGCTACTGTTCCCAAAGAAAAACACTTGACGGAGATGAACGGAGATAAAGTTCAGACATTAACGGAGATATCTACATTTAAATACGGTGATATCAAAAGAGAAAGTTTACATTAAAGTATTAGCAAGAGGCACAAGGTTAGTGTTAACTAATATAAACATGTGTCCTGATTCGTTCATACTGTTTTATAACTTTGCGGTTCACTTGTTTAATGGTATGCTAAAGTGATGCTAATATGGATGGAGCTTAACTGTAGTTGTTGTGTTGTGTCTTTGTGTAGCTCTTACGTTGATTTTTGGAGTTTTCAATAAATGAGAAATCATCAGTCAAGTGTACGACCGTCTTTCGGAGGGATCTGCTACACTTGGTGTTCTCATTTCATCAAATTCCCCTCCTCGACTCCCCTCCTCGTGTCTTAGTCCCGACCACAGGAGATGCGAACGGAGGACTCGAGGAGGGGAACCGAGGAGAGAGGAGGGGAAGCAGCAGGCGGTTAGAGAAATGAGAACTCCTCTCCTCTGAGCGGTCATTTTAAAGAGACGTCCATTAATGATGACAGGAGGCACAGCAGCCCTCTGTCTGATGGACAGATGTGTTCATGATGACTTCTATATTTACTTTGATTCATTCACAGTGCGGTATAATGAGACAATAACAGGCTACAGATGCGGACACACACACACAAACACACACACACACACACACACACACACACACACACACACACACACACACACACACACACACACACACACACACACACATATATATTTATATATATATATATATATATATACAATTTCAGAATCAAACAGAGCACTCTCATAATAACGTAACACTATCAGAGACTGGATATACCCCCACCCCCTCTCTGGTCGCTACAATAAGGGAAATAAATGACGGGCCAAAAGTTTTATCTACAAGTACTAAAAGTAAGCAGAGGACACCAAACCAACTGAGACCTGTCTGTCCGCTGCATCTACGCACACACTGTACCACACACACCTACAGCACACACACCTACACCACACACACCTACACCACACACACGCACCTACATCTCCTAAAGCATATAATCAGGCTACAGCCGTTGTGTATTTTATTTTGTGAAGCACTAAATGGTTTTAGAAACATCTGGACTCTTTGTAGATATCTACTAAACTAAAGCAAATAAAGAGAGTAGGCCTGTTATACTGAGTGATATATATTATACACACTGCTCTGCTTTCTGCACGGACCTCACAGCTGTTCTCACTGTAAACATCGCGTCGCGATGAAAGCAGTTACTAAAATAATATCCAGGGGATGCATGCAGAGCTGTGATTGGCTGAGATAAGTCCGGCCGTGCGTCACGACTCTTTGAAACATCTCTGTTCCCGGAAATGCATCCACGAAGGAGCCGTGGAGGACCGTGGAGGACCCATCAGTGTATCCTCGGTTATAGCTCCTCCAGAGAGCCTCCTCGACGCTCGATGCTCGGTCCTCGAAGTGCATTTAGAGAAATGAGATGTCCTTCAACATGGCGCGCTAAAATTCATTTCCGGGTCACTACCGGAGGACCGAGGAGTCGAGGAGTCGAGGAGGGGGATTTGAGATGAGGCTTCAGTGTTCCGGTTTCCTGTTGTTAGCATTCCAGCTTCACAGTAGCATGCAGCTAGCACGTTCTTGTGTGTGTAGTTTAATGGAAAATAAAGTGTGGAGTTCCATATTAAACACACCGCCTCCGACTCCCATTCATCGGCTCTACACCACGCACATTTCTTTATTTCATTAAATCGCAGCCTGTTGCGGTTATGTAATCGCACAAGCTGATATCGCGATTGCGATTCGATTAATCGTGCAGCCCTAGTTCCCAATCATTTAGATGTGTTTTCACAGATAATAAACAGAAGGCTGATATAATGATGATCCTCAATAACAGAATGACGGTCACTGTTATTCAGGGAAAGATCATTGATTAGGACGCAGTAATGATGAGCTGCACATTTCAGACCTGAACATCTGACTGGATTATAAACTGATTTTTATCCTCATCATGTTTTCTTTATTCAGTCTGAGGAACTGCAGTTTGTCAGAGATCAGCTGTTCTGCTCTGATCTCAGCTCTGAAGTCCAACATCCATCTGAGAGATCTGGACCTGGGTCTCAACGCTCTGAAGGATTCAGGAGTGGAGCTGCTGAGAGATCTTCTGGAGAGTCCAGACTGCAGACTGAAGACTCTCAGGTCAGTAAGGGGTAGGGGTGGGAATCACCAGGCTCCCCACGATACAATAGTATTGCAATTCTACGATATGCTAAGTATTGCGATACGATATATTTCGATATTGCAAATCACATGGGTCATATCCATGTCCGTCTTCCCTTCCTGGTTAAAAATGTATTTGCAATATGAATAGTTTATGTAAATAACCCAATTTGTGTCTTTTGAACCTGAAAAGGATTGTTGTTGTTACTTTCATTGCTATTGTTTACATTTCTATAATTTAACTCAACTTCCTGTTTTATTTAGACATGCTTTTATTTAGAAGGCGACTTTGCGCTATTTACAGGAAGCTACTGTTCCCAAAGAAAAACACTTGACGGAGATGAACGGAGATAAAGTACAGACATTAACGGAGATATCTACATTTAAATACGGCGATATCAAAAGAGAAAGTTTACATTAAAGTATTAGCAAGAGGCACAATGTTAGTGTTAACTAATGTAAACATGTGTCCTGATTCGTTCATACTGTTTTATAACTTTGCGGTTCACTTGTTTAATGGTATGCTAAAGTGATGCTAATATGGATGGAGCTTAACTGTAGTTGTTGTGTTGTGTCTTTGTGTAGCTCTTACGTTGATTTTTGGAGTTTTCAATAAATGAGAAATCATCAGTCAAGTGTACGACCATCTTTCGGAGGGATCTGCTACACTTGGTGTTCTCATTTCATCAAATTCCCCTCCTCGACTCCCCTCCTCGAGACTTAGTCCCGCCCACAGGAGATGCGAGCGGAGGACTCGAGGAGGGGAAACAAGGAGAGAGGAGGGGAAACAAGGAGAGAGGAGGGGAAGCAGCAGGCGGTTAGAGAAATGAGAACTCCTCTCCTCTGAGCGGTCATTTTAAAGAGACGTCCATTAATGATGACAGGAGGCACAGCAGCCCTCTGTCTGATGGACAGATGTGTTCATGATGACTTCTATATTTACTTTGATTCATTCACAGTGCGGTATAATGAGACAATAACAGGCTACAGATGCGGACACACACACACACACACACACACACACACACACACACACACACACATATATATTTATATATATATATATATATATATACAATTTCAGAATCAAACAGAGCACTCTCATAATAACGTAACACTATCAGAGACTGGATATACCCCCCCCCTCTCTGGTCGCTACAATGAGGGAAATAAATGACGGGCCAAAAGTTTTATCTACAAGTACTAAAAGTAAGCAGAGGACACCAAACCAACTGAGACCTGTCTGTCCGCTGCATCTACGCACACACTGCACCACACACACCTACACCACACACACGCACCTACAGCTCCTAAAGCATATCATCAGGCTACAGCCGTTGTGTATTTTATTTTGTGAAGCACTAAATGGTTTTAGAAACATCTGGACTCTTTGTAGATATCTACTAAACTAAAGCAAATAAAGAGAGTAGGCCTGTTATACTGAGTGATATATATGATACACACTGCTCTGCTTTCTGCACGGACCTCACAGCTGTTCTCTCTGTAAACATCGCGTCGCGATGAAAGCAGTTACTAAAATAATATCCAGGGGATGCATGCAGAGCTGTGATTGGCTGAGATAAGTCCGGCCGTGCGTCACGACTCTTTGAAACATCTCTGTTCCCGGAAATGCATCCACGAAGGAGCCGTGGAGGACCGTGGAGGACCCATCAGTGTATCCTCGGTTATAGCTCCTCCAGAGAGCCTCCTCGACGCTCAATGCTCGGTCCTCGAAGTGCATTTAGAGAAATGAGATGTCCTTCAACATGGCGCGCTAAAATTCATTTCCGGGTCACTACCGGAGGACCGAGGAGTCGAGGAGTCGAGGAGGGGGAATTGATGAAATGAGAAAGGGCCTTGGTGTTCCGGTTTCCTGTTGTTAGCATTCCAGCTTCACAGTAGCATGCAGCTAGCACGTTCTTGTGTGTTTAGTTAAATGGAAAATAAAGTGTGGAGTTCCATATTAAACACACCGCCTCCGACTCCCATTCATCGGCTCTACACCACGCACATTTCTTTATTTCATTAAATCACAGCCTGTTGCGGTTATGTAATCGCACAAGCTGATATCGTGATTTAGATTCGATTAATCGTGCAGCCCTAGTTCCCAATCATTTAGATGTGTTTTCACAGATAATAAACAGAAGGCTGATATAATGATGATCCTCAATAACAGAATGACGGTCACTGTTATTCAGGGGAAGATCATTGATTAGGACGCAGTAATGATGAGCTGCACATTTCAGACCTGAACATCTGATTGGATTATAAACTGATTTTTATCATCATCATGTTTTCTTTATTCAGTCTGAGGTACTGCAGTTTGTCAGAGATCAGCTGTTCTGCTCTGGCCTCAGCTCTGAAGTTCAACATCCATCTGAGAGATCTGGACCTGAGTGAGAACGCTCTGAAGGATTCAGGAGAGAAGCTGCTGAGAGATCTTCTGAAGAGTCCAGACTGCAGACTGCAGACCCTCAGGTCAGTAAGGGGTCTCTGCTGGTTCAGCAGTATTGTATGAAACACAGGGAGGTGTTTCTCTCTCTGGGGAATCACAACAGATCAGTGATGTTACCCACTGACTGCAGGTTCTTTCATTCTTCCATCAACTATTGAAGACCAGCTGAAAATGCAAAGCCACATTTATATATATTATTATTTATTTATAGCCACTGTCATTTTATTTTGTATATATTGATTGTTGTATTGTTTTATTTAGGTCTTAATGTGTGCACATGTAAAAATGTGTCTTTGATTCTGTGTAAATATATATATATAAATATTTGTACACATATTTTTATATCAATTAGTTTTTATATTCTGGATTGTGGGAAACGGTATTTCGATCTCTCTGTACACACAAACTGGAAGATTGACAATAAAGTTGACTTTGACTTAACATTTAGTAATCAACTCTCTCACAGACACATGGGATTTGACTGAAGAGTGGAAAAGGTAGTCTGTTTGTTATGGGATGTTTTTAGTTTCTAGCCTAATGACTGGTTACTTCCTGTAATGCAGCTGAGAGCAGTCAGTCGTAGTGTTTGCAGAGAAGATATGATGGGATGTAAAGCATGAGATCAGTCAGGACTCTGAAGCTGACTAACTCAAAGAACAAACACTTATTTTAAACTGGATCTAAAACTGTTGGGTTGTGTTCATCCCTACAGGATCACAGGAGAGACGTTCAGAGCCAAGATCCAGAAGACCTGTGAGTACTGAATATCCTCCATTCATCTAGATATGAAACTCTTTCATGGAGCATGACCTCAGAGGAAAACAACACTCTTGTTTTTCTCTCTTCATCATTCTGGATGTTTCTCTTCATGTTTTATTATCATCATGATTCTCTCTCTCTCTCCTTCTCCTCTCAGGTGACAGGAAGTGAAGAGACACAGAAAGGTGAGAGGTCGTACCGTGTGAAGTTTATTTATTGAGGTTTCACCACGGAATAAATGTAGTTATAGGTTTTTCTGGGGAAGAAAGTCCTTCATTCAAAATGTTCCTCAAAAGAAAGTAGAAAAGTATTATCATCAAAATATAGTGAAAGTAGCGACAGTAAAAGTAGTCATTGTGCAGATTGGTCCATTTCAGAATAATATATATGATATGTTTTATAATGATTGATCATGAAAGTGTTCTCAAAGCTGGTAAAGGTGCAGCTAGTTTGAATGACTTTGTATACTGCAGGGTAGCTTGTGAATTTACTCCAGGTGGAACTAAAGTCTGATTTAACACTTGGTTATATTTCACATCATTCATCCACATCTGTGAAGTAACTAAAGGTATTAAATACATGTAGTGGAGAAGAAGTACACCATTTACCTCTGAACTGTAGAGGAGTAGAAGTACACAGTACATCAAAATGTTACTTAAGGACAGTGCTTGAGTAAATGTACTTAGTTCCTCTCCTGATCTGTAAAGCTCTCCCAACATATGCAGGTTAGCATCCGGCAGCTTCTATGTGCTGGGGACCCGTACTGTACATTTCTCTCATCACACTTTGGGCTCCTCAACATCTCTGTGTTCCCAGCAGGACTCTCTGAGCTGCAGACACATTCTTTCTGTGACTTTGATCCAGATATTTGGAGCATAATAACTGAAGCTGTTTCTCCATGTTCAGGAACTCTGAGTCCTGCGGCAGGAAGCGGTCCTTCTCTCCAAGAACTCCTGGAGCCAGGCCTGCAAGCTGGTCCAGAACCAGAGTCCAACCGGTCGACCTCGTGAAGTTAAACTAAACTACACAATTATTAAAGATCATGTTTAAAGTTAAAAATGGATGCTTTCAGACTGCAGGGTTTCCCACACATAGACTCTACTTGTATACAGGTCTATTAACGGCCGCCAAAGTATATTTCGCGACCCATTTAGTTTAGTTTTTTATCCGTCCGCAAGCAAGACACCATCTGCGATCGATGAGCTAGTGGACAATGATCCCTCGCTCTACGCCTCCTGTACCTGTTCGCTCTGTGTTGGGAAAATACTGAATGTTCCTTCTGTATCAGAGTAGCACATGATAACAGAGGCCCTACGTAGCTGTGTACGTAGCTGGATGTCTGACTACATGGATGACGCTCATGAGACACTGTGTTGAAGTTATGATAGCTATGTTCCTCAGATTGGCATGATGACACAGCCCCTAGAGAGATAGGCATATGACTGTCATGTGTATTGCTTACGCAGGCCTTAGCTAATCTGAACTAATGTCAGAATACTGCTTTGAACCAGTGTTCCTCCATCTTGTTGACTGTCACTCCCTCTCTTGTATATAAGCATATCAAGGACTCTACTCTGGGAACTATTTGTCCCACGCAGCTCTGTGTGTGAAGACTACTTCCATTCTTGAGAGGATAATAAATACATGGATCCTGATATTGAAGCTCAAGCCGGTGACGAGTGATATTTGTATAACACTCTGCTACCGCGTGAAGGGTCTGCTAACAAGCGACCAACAGAAAGGGAGACCTCACGAGAAACAGAGAAGACGACGTAAACATCGTTTCTCTGACTGCAGTCAAAGCAGATACTTTGTGGAATATAAAAATGAAACTATAAGAATTACTCAGAATGTTCTTTTACAAATATTTCAAATGTTTCTATCCGAGTGCTTTCCTCATGAATTATCCATAAATCTAGGAGTTTGTTTTCTGTGTATTTCATAATCTTAGAGGATATTTGATTTCATGTAACTTTCAGATCAGACATGTTTTTATTGCGTTTCTACAATGCATAACAAGGGTTTGTCCTTTCAGAAATGGAAAGCTAAATGTATGCAAATACAAATGACACAATTGTTTGTAATGGTTATATGTAAGAAGAGAAAAATAAAAAACAACAGAATGAGAGAGGCTTTAGCATTTTACCTTTTTTAAATAAAGAAGATTTATTGTGTTAATTGTTCAAAGGAGACAGGCTGCATGTTTGCTAATCTAATAGATCCAAGCTAAAGACTTTAAAGTCTCATTTTATCCTCGGAAAGTTCACAAAAAAAGCTTCCTAAACTTTTATTCTGACAATCTCAAATGTGGAGAATCTCCTGACTGGTTTCACATCCACAGTTTGAACCAAAGTCTACAGATATCTCAGCGTTCATGTAGCCGAGAACACTTTTTCTTTTATAAAGGTTTGTTGGTTTTGACACGTGAAAAAGTAGAGTATTGCTCCATATGTTGTCTCCAGTACTGAGCAAGACCACTCTCTATTCCAGTAAGTCTTCACAGGCTCTGCAGCATTTAGAAGTGACGCTGCACAGATCAGTGCTGCAGAGTTACAGCGACGAAGAGGAGGAGGAAGAGGGGGAGGAAGAGGAGAGGGTTAGAATAAGAGAGGCAGGGAGAGGACGGATGAGATGAAGGTAGGCGATGAAAAATATGAGGAGAAATTAAATAGAAATGGAAAGTCTGGGTCTGACCTTGCTTCAGTCTCTGAGGAAAAATACAAATGTTTGGTAGAACTGTCCCTTTAAAGACATCATCATCGTCAGCTGGTCCCCCTTGAGGTGTCAGTTGGAAATTATTTCTCAAAAATCTGACTTTTTTCTCAAAATTATGTTTTTCCTCAAAATCATGACTTTTTAAGAATAAAACTGAAATTGATTTTATTTCTCAAAATTCCAACTTTTTCAAAAAAAATCGGACTTTTTCAGAAAAATACGAAATTAGATATTTTTCCTCAAAATTCAGTTTTTCTCAAAATAATGACTTTTAATATTATTATTTTTAATAATCTGACTTTTTTTGAAAAATCTTTGTGAGCGTTATTCAGAGCTCATCTGTGTGTTTCACCCTCATGGGGAGTGGAGGATAAACGTTGCAAATGCATGAGTTTTTGCAATAAAGGATTTCTAAATCGTTGTTTTGGTTGAACTGTCCCTTTAAAAACAGAAGAGATCGTTTCCATAGCAACCTAAAAACAGACACACATGCGAATGCTTTCAAATGTATTTATTCATATATATAGGAATAAAGAAATGAAAGGGAATGAAAATAAAGTTGTCATTAATTTATTAAAATATCAAACAGATGTAGGTTACAGCTTGACTGATGATTCTAAAATGGGTTTCAACAATTAATTTGGTGGAAAATAATGACTTTATTTACTAGAAATCGTTAGTTAGCACTAAATGAAAGTCGAAATTAGTCTTCTTTGGGAAGCTGCACATCATCTTCATCATCCTCTTCATCATCATCATAATGCTTCTCCCCCTTAAAGTGTCAAGTGGCAATTTTAGCACAACTCCAGAATAAAAGAAAACAATTGGCATTTAAAAAAATTAAATAAAAAAATAGTGTGCAGACATTTACATATGCAACAAATGGATATATACACAAACAGCTGGTTTAAATTCTTTATGAATAAGGCTTTTATATCAACAAGCCTTTTGTATACTGCCACATAACACTGGAGACGTCTGAACAGAAGCAGTGAGTCTGCGGTTAAACTCACAATAACTAACACGTGTCATTAAAATGTGTTTTATATTACATACATTACATTATAATACATGCAGAGCCTCTCTGTTCAATTAAAACCCAAAGAAAATAACATTTTCAAGGTTAGGTGTTTCAAATGCATGCTGTTTAATAAAACAAACAACAACAAAGCCAGTCAGAAATGTTTGTAAATACATTAAAACACCCAAAAAAATGTGATCAAAAGAATCAGAAACACAGGAGAGCTCCGACATAAAGACGGTACGACTCAGTTCCTAAAGTCTGACTGCATTATTACTTTGTTTAGTGACGGTTCATTCTGCTAGGGTCGAGTATCAGGGAGATCTCACTGATTATAATTATCCATATTTATTTTTATTAAATCCTATGAATAATATATTTTCCCTTTTATCGTATTTTCGACTTCATCCAGATCTCAGGTTCCAGCATCACGTGATCTTTGGTGCCTTATAGAGACTAGAAACACAAACAATGCTGTAATGTAACTTTAATGTGTTGGACAAAAGAGAAATAATTTAAAAGGTTTTTTTAATATCTACGGATGAGGATTAGGGTCGAAAATAAAAAATAAAAAATTCTGGATTTTTCTTCAAGTTCTAACTTTTTGTCCAAATTATTACTTTTTAAAGAAATGAAGAAAAAGTTACTTTTTTCTCAAAATGTTCTTAAATTTAACTTTTGTCCAAATTATGAATTTTTGGAAAAAGTTACATTTTCTGAAATCTTCTGAAAAAGTCAAATGCTTCAATTTATTCTGAAAAAGTCACATTTAACACTTTAAGTATATTTCTGGGAAAAAGTTTTTCTTTCAAGGACTATTGCAACACCTCGCTTCTGAATAATTCCCCAAAAAGCTCTTATTTTTTCCAATTAGTTCTTATTTAATTTAATGATACTCAACCCCATTATTCCCTAAAAATACAGATACTTGATTTAGAGTTTTCCTGATGTGTCTAATGTCAAAGAAGCGCGCCGTTACTGAATAAGACATAAATCAAAGTGCAACAAAACATGTTGATTTTCTTCTAAATGAGGTGGTGGTTAAAAGATCTACAGAAAACTAAATGTCAACAACTAATGTGGAAAACGTTTTGATCGTCCAGATTTAAATAAACAAATGTGTGAGGTAGTTTGATTAAACATTAATATATTCAAAATGATAGACTACCTCTTAAATACCTCTACCTAAAATCTCTCGAAGCTACCTGAAGGAATGAATTTATCATTATTATTACGTTATTGTAAGTTTGCATGACTTTCCAGGACTTCAAATGAAATGTGGCAGTTTGTTACAGCAATGAAATGATGAAATATAAATTCTCACAGCTTCTTAAAAACACGATAGATGAATGCAACAAAAAAAAGCAGTGTCCGCCATATCCAACAGCAGCAAGTGGAAGGATCAAATCAAATAAAAAATGTGCCCTAATATGTTTTCTAAATGTCTTTTCGGGTCATCACTGCACCATGAAGGAGGAAAACGCCTCGGTGCTTTTGAGTCCGTTTCGCTCTATGATCTTCTCGATGGCGATGTAAGTTCCCGTGATGAAGCCGATGAGCCCGATGAGGCTAATGGCGGCGTTTTTGATGGTGACAAGAGGCGAAAGACCCTCCGTGTGGAAAGTGATGATCTGCAGGATGGGCGGGAAGATCAGCGCCAGAAAACTGCTGCTGACCGAACCGACCAATGAGATGACGAGGTCCAGCTCTGGGATCAGGATGGCAAGAGCACCTGGAGGAGAAGAGGGAAAGGAGAGAATATTGTTCATAACTTTATCTCTGACTTTGTGGTGAAACTCAACGATACTCTAGGGTAAAAGTAGAGACGTCTCCGCAGAACCCATCTTTACTATAAAAAGTCAAATGTTCAGAAAGTAAAATGTTCAGAAATGTTCAGTGTTATGACCTGGCTCAAAAGGCCACAACAAAGAGGAGACACACCATATCAACGGTTAATAAAATATGTTTATTTAAAGTGGACCTATCATGCTATATTTAAATGATATATTGTAGGGCCATACCTATATAAGGTATATTTATACGTTTCTGTTTTCAAAATACCAAACAGATCATGCATTTTAGCCATGCCTCATTTCGCTCTATGTGCTGTTTGCTGTCTACGGGTCTGATTCTGCTGACCACGCCCCCCTGCAGGAGAGGGGAGACGTGCTCTGATCAGCTGCTGGGCTGTCAGAAGAGGGGGAGAAAAAGAGATCTCCGTCCTCCGTGTTTTATTATATAGAGTCGTTATTCATTTGTTTTAAAGCTCAATAAATAACAAAGAAGACCTTTGACCGGTACTTTTCTAATTTTGTCCGGAAGATTTAAACTTTAACGGACATCTTGACCGGCGAAAGAAACTGAAACTGAAACTCTGCCGCACGGTCCCCTCATTCCTTGGAAGAGGCGGAGAGGTGGGTGTTTGTCATCTGCTGGTGGACTAACCGGAGAGAATTACAGTGCTTGCCTCGACGGGGAGGGATTGCATTGAATTAAAGCAGCGGGAGCAAACGCTTGCTTCGGGGAGGGAGAAAGAAAGCCACAGCGGAGAATAAACAGAAGGGTAACCATGGTAACTATGGGCGGGAAGTCTTCTTCGCTGCTTTTGTGGCAGACTACAGCGCCACTTACAGGCCTGGCATATGTACTACAGCGTCTCCAGCGCTTTCGAGTGGCCATGGCCGGCCGTGGCCCAACCCCACATTCCCCTGATAGGTGGAGAGTTGGCCCAATAGCCGTAGCGCCACTTCTGTGACGACATAGAAGTGTTCAAATCTGGATCAGTTTTTATCAGATCCGTTGCAGCCCCTTTTTTAGAGATTTGGGTATGGAGGAAAATAGAGAGGGTTGTGTTTTCTGACACTTGGTGAGTTCCCTGGAACACCGGAGACACATATTCATGTAGAAAAGACGTACAAAAGTGCATTTTGCATGATAGGTCCCCTTTAAGCAAGCAATTCAAATTAAGCAAATTAATTAAGTGCAAAACGAGTAAAGCATGAGGCGTGGACGTCAGTGGTATCAGTAGTGCAAATACAGGGTGAGGGTTGCATGGAAGTGTAAGTGTGAGGGTGTTGAGGGGCACAAAGTAAAGCAACTAAAGTAACAAACAGCATACTCAACAGAACCGGGTGCCTGTAGGGAAAAGCAGAGAGAGGCTTTAAGTAGCTGCAGGGCACCAGACCCAAGTGCCCTGAGTTACTGCAATCAAGGCTGGACACAGCACAGCCACACCCTCTCCAGATGAACCCACAGGGGCATCACATCAGAAAAATATACATTTTCAGAGATTTTCTCAGTAACATTTTCTGTAAAACATTCTGAAACTTTCTGAAAAAGTAAACATTTCTGAAACATTTCTGAAATGTTCTGACATTTTCTCAATAGGTAAAGTTTTCAGAAATGTTCAGAAAGTAAAATGTTCAGAAATGTTCAGAAAAAAATACATTTTCAGAAATGTTCTCAGAAAGTAAAATGTTCTGACATTTTTTCGGAAAAAGTAAAAACATTAGAAAATGTTCTGAAAACAAAACAAGATATCAGCTAGCAAGCTGAGATTCCACCGATTCCAGAAATATAAGTATCATCACTGAGCGACATGGGAAGCAAACCCAGACATCCCAACACGTAGCTTTACGGAGCAAAAACGAGATATTCTTACTTTTGCTGTTGTTCTGATCAAAAGTGTGTTCAATGAAATTAAAACGATAAAAAACGCTGCTGAAAGTTAATCCATAGGTTAATCCAATGTGTCTGTGTCACTTTGAAAAGATTACTGATAATCCATTATTCCATTTGTACTAGACTCTATGGATAAAGGGTGTTGTTAAGATTGTAATCTATTTGAGATAAATGTGATTTTGTGTTAAATTAAGACAATTTACTTGAGTTAAAGATTGATTTCTTTCTATATCATTCAGGTATTGGGATTGTATTTAAAGACTATAAATAAGTGAACTCTATATCTATGTTTTATTAAAACTTGTGAATAAATATACGATGATTTTTCTGATTCTTTAGTCTCTTGCAGCTCTACTACACTCACAGAGTCTCTTTGGTTATTACTGTGTGATATCTAGTTCTTACGTGATGTTTTCTTTTGTTTTAATATGTTATTTTCACGGATTTGTAAAGAGCTTAAAGCTAGCTGTAGAGTAGAGGGATGTAGCGGCTGTGTGTTGGACCGTTCATGGTCTCATTTCTTTGTGCATTTTACGCCTCGGATACACTCGGATAGCCTGGCAATGCTCAAAGCAAACTAAAAACACGGCAGCATGGAACAAGTGGAACAAAGACAAACGTATCTCCCATCGGAAAGCCAAGCACTGACATCTTGATTCAAACACTGAGACTCTCTGGGCTTTTTCTCTTGAAGATTTGCTCATCACGTATGCACACGATGATGCGCTGCTTCAATCTCTTGTAGTATTCTCATTCAAAAACCCAAAAGCAATCTCTTTCTCGCAGATGTGAGTGTCGGAGTCGCATTATTCCCCCTCACACGTTTAGTCCTTCAACTCCTTCATTCCAGCAAACATTATTGAGATCCAACTGGGTGCGATGTCCTTTTCATTTCATTTGTATTTGATCCGTTCATGGTATTGTTATATCAATCTTGGACCTTAGGCGCTTTCACACCGCAGTACTTTTCCCACAAAGGTTCATCAGAACTTAGTTCATGAGAACTCTTTAGTTCTCATGAACTAAGTACAGATCGCGTTCACACCGGAATAAGTCCCTGAGGGAGGATTAGGCAAATGAAGCCGCTGACGTCACTTCTTCGGCTTTGGCTCCGACACCTCATCTCCACCGCTCCCATGTTTTCTTTTGTGTTGCCATAAATTAGTCTCTCTGCGTTTCTGCGCTGGGCTAATGCTAATAATGCTAATGCGAGGATAATAAAATGGCGGCTTCACAAAACTTTTTGGGAGTTTTACGGGGCGTGGTTTTGCAATCCGCCCAGCCAATCAGAAATAGGAACCCTTTTCTCCCACGAAAGTCCCTGCTCTCTAGCAGAAAAGAGGGGTAAAAAGGTTCATGAACTAATTTTAGTTCCGGCTCTTTTTGGTGTGAACGCGACATTTCGGAACTATATCAGAACTAAAGTGGGAAAAGTACTGCGGTGTGAACGCGCCTCTAGTCATAGTAACTAGGTATGTTATTGAATTACAGTTTCCAGAGCCAAGAGGCTAATCGTCTCTTTGCTAATTATTCACTCATTAATTCAAGTGAGCTGACAAAGAGGATGTTTAGATTATAATAGAGTTAGAGGGAAAACATTGAGGTTTGTGTGTTAGTTAAATAAAGAAAAGTGTGTGACCTCCTGCTAAATTATGAACCATCCAGAACTCTCAGGTCTTCAGGGACTGGTCAGCTTTCTGTCCCCAGAGTCAGAACTAAACATGGTAAAGCAGCGTTCAGTTATTATGCTCCAGATATCTGGAACAAACTCCCAGAAACCTGCAGGTCCGCTGCAACTCTGACTACTTTTAAATCCAGGCTGAAGACTTTTCTTTTTGCCGCTGCTTTTAATTGAACTACTTGCCTTGCCTTGCCTTGCCTTGCCTTGCCTTGCCTTGCCTTGCCTTGCCTTGCCTTGCCTTGCCTTGCCTTGCCTTGCCTTGCCTTGCCTTGCCTTGCCTTGCCTTACCTTGCTTTGCCTTGCCTTGCGTTCATGTGCAAACGTATATATAGTTTGTTAATTGGATAATTCATATCAAGACTCCTAAAGACGTCATGAAATAATGACCTTTCGACATCTGGAACATACATGTTGCTCTGATGTTGGTGCGTCCATTTGGAGAACATGATGTTCGTGTGCTAGTTAAACATGATTAGGGGAAATGAGTGTGTGGTCATTATAGCTGCTATATAGGCTGTGTGAAACTTCCACTTTGTGGGGGCATTTCCGCGATTGGCTGCTGTGGCAAGAGGTAAATGTTTTCCTCATTATTATTTGTTTGTTGCGCAACTGAATAATAATTAATCTCAACCATGTCTGTGTTTGTGTTTTATTGATCTCTCTCTGTGTTAACATTTAAGGTTGGTGAGCCATAAATTGCACGAACAGTATGCACAACTTAATGTATAACAATTATAAATGATAACTTATAACTTAACTCCCACTGTACATTTTAAATTTATATTCAATTTAATATTGAATAGGGAGGCGTGTGGTGCAGTGGGTTGTGTGTTGGTGTTCGGATAAGGTGGTCACAGGTTCAAACCCCACTGCAGTCAGCATGTTGTTGTGTCCCTGAGACACTTCACCTCTCATACCCCTTTCACACCAACGGTGTTTCAGGGCCGGTTCGGTGCTGGTGCTTGAAAAGCACCGGGTTTTCCTGTTCACACCGCAGCGGAGCAGCGTCATAGCTCCGGAATCCGGTTCGTTTCGAGCACCAAAAAGTTGTCCGTCTAGAAGCAAGAACCGCATACGTCACGCTTACATCGGAGGGGGGCGAGATTAACCTGAGCTAACACTTAAGGCGAGTACGGCAAATAAAAGTTGTAACAAGCAGTAGTGCTGAGCAAAGTGACTAGAACGCAACCACACACTTGTTAAAAAAAACACACTTTATAAAGTCAGGCAACACTAACCAGGCTTCGTGTGATTCTGTTTATTTGTACCTTACTTTGACCATCCGTTCGCTGTTATTGATCATTGTGGAGAGCAGGCAGACGTTTGTTATTATAGCAGCTATCGGATGGGAATCAATACATGGGCTGCACAGGTTGTCATGTCCGACTATCACAAGTAGAATCATAATGAAAAATACGTCGGTAAAAAGTGCCTGTAGAAAACTGCTTAGCAAGTAGTCAGTTTAGCTTCGGTTGCTATGCTAACATCACCCATGTTATACCAGAGAAACTTTCATAACAGCGTTGTGATGCCAAACAGCGTCAATTCAGACTGACACCAAACAGCGTCAATTCAGACTGACACACATTCACTTAAGGGGAACTGGGGATATGTATCAGCTGCTTGTGTGACAGTCAGACAGTGAATACTTTAGAGCCGTGTGAGCTAACCCGGAGCTAACGGGAGAATACACTCCCGTTGAAGAGCAGCCGGCCAGCACTGCAGCGGTCGGTAAATGCCGCTGAAACACATTAATAAACAATGAACCACGGCACTCTGGAGAAAAGTATAAGGTTGGAGAAGTCGTTATTTAATTTAATCTGGCTTCGTATGATTAAAAGCAACGCAGTCCCCGGCCCGTTGTTGTTGTGAAGTGAGCTCCGGCGTTGGGGAGAAACTCAGCGACGTAAACTGTGACGTCATGACGCAGCAGCGGCAGCACCAGTCGGGCTCTGAGCGGTGTGAAAAGAGCCGGCGCTAAACCGAAGAACCGGTTCTGAACCAGAAAAGCTCTAGCACGGAGCTTGAACCGGAGTTGCGTTGGTGTGAAAGGGGCAAAAGTGCTCCTGTGGGGATTGCCCACAGTATTGAGTCTGTAAGTCGCTTTGGATAAAAGCGACTAACAATTAACATGTCATGTAATAATTCATTTCTTGCACAATAATATCCTGCATTATATTTGTTACTGTACATTTGTATTTCCACATGTATATTTTTAAATATTTAATGCTATTCTATTTCAGAAATATTTTGGATTGTTTATTTTAACTTATCTTGTGTGCATTGCCTTGTCTTTTTATATGTTAGAAATGTATTGGCTCCCACATAACTTGAACCCTGCACTTACATGTGAAGAGGACGAGGACGGTGCGCAGCAACATGTCCACGGGTCGCTCCCATCTCACCGACACACGAGCCAACACGGGGGGGATGAGGATCTCCGCAGGGACGTAGAACTGCAGGGCGAAAGTGATGAAGATACCGAAACAGTAGAGAAGCTTCACCCCCTGGTAGGTCCTGGAAAAAGAGCAGAGAAATAGTCAAATAAACGAGTTATGTGGCAGAAAAATCAGCTTTCAAGCCTTCTTCTGTTCTCCTGCATCCTGCTGATGTTCAGGTGTATATCAGTATGTAGTGTCTCTACTTTAAAGAGTCCTCTCCTGCTGATGGTCAGGTGTATATCAGTATGTAGTGTCTCTACTTTAAAGAGTCCTCTCCCGCTGATGTTCAGGTCTATATCAGTATGTAGTGTCTCTACTTTAAAGAGTCCTCTCCTGCTGATGGTCAGGTGTATATCAGTAAGTAGTGTCTCTACTTTAAAGAGTCCTCTCCTGCTGATGTTCAGGTGTATATCAGTATGTAGTGTCTCTACTTTAAAGAGTCCTCTCCTGCTGATGGTCAGGTGTATATCAGTATGTAGTGTCTCTACTTTAAAGAGTCCTCTCCCGCTGATGTTCAGGTCTATATCAGTATGTAGTGTCTCTACTTTAAAGAGTCCTCTCCTGTTGATGTTCAGGTGTATATCAGTATGTAGTGTCTCTACTTTAAAGAGTCCTCTCCTGCTGATGTTCAGGTGTATATCAGTATGTTGTGTCTCTACTTTAAAGAGTCCTCTCCTGCTGATGTTCAGGTGTATATCAGTATGTAGTGTCTCTACTTTAAAGAGTCCTCTCCTGCTGATGTTCAGGTGTATATCAGTATGTAGTGTCTCTACTTTAACCTGTTTCACACCTTCCCCCCCCGGTACCGGGCGGATAAACGCGTCATTTGCAGGAAACAACGTCTAAGGAATCTTAATATTGAATAAAACTATGAATGTGTTATATCCATGTAACGGGAAGAAACTCAGCTAACTGATCTTTTTAATTTTTTTTTTCAAAAAAAAACCCACAATGCTAGCACTCAGCCTCTGAATTAGCCTCGACGAAAAAACGTAACCTACAAAGGCACATAAACTCACTCAGAACTCCCTTATTACTTATCCTAGATGCACAACCAAACACTCTTTTTTGGTGTCCTGGAGACACTGAATCTACCGGTGCCCACCTCAACACTCAGTGATAAACATTCGCGACGCTCTAAACGAAAGCGTACATCATCACATGTGGAGCTAAGAAGCTAAACACGTAAATATGGCTTACCTTGGTCAAAAGTGGTCTTCAATGGCATTAAAACGATAAAAAAAAACGATGCTGCAGTTAATCCATAGGTTCATCCTATGTGTCTGTGCCTTCTTTGAAATTATTTCTGATAATCCATAAGCAATACAACTGCGTTTTAGTTTCCAAACTCCAGAAGGAGACATTCCTCCACTTTGGTTTCGTTTTCCACACGCGAAGCAACCACATTTTTTCTTTACAACGTGTCTGGGTGGGAGCCTCCCCCTTCGATTCTATTGGCTCTAACGGTCACAAGGGTATGTCAACCAACCAAATCGAGCAAGGGGGGGCCAGAGATAGGTCAAATCCACCCAAATGACCCCAGATGGCCCAGTTTTTGGCTAAATCTCTCTAAAAAGGTCAAATTTCACTTGTTTTGCATCAATCTTGATACAGGGTACTTATTATATGTTGTACTTTGGATTCCTAAAGCTTTTAGTCTACTAACACATCATCCAAGGGTAGTTTTCACTATCTGTAAAAAATAATTTTTGGACGGACACTATAATTTACAGTTTTTTACTATGTAAAATCTGAATTTTCTTTAAAATAAAAAACATTTATATTGATTCTGACACTTCTACATCCAACTCACAGGTTTATCATTACTTTGAGAAAAAAGATTATTAATTTAACCCTTTTAGAAGGGAAGATATGGTCATCTGTTCTGGGAATGTCATTTTCGAGCCTGAGACCTGAAAAACAGGCTCAGAGTGGAACAGGTTTTAAAGAGTCCTCTCCTGCTGATGTTCAGGTGTATATCAGTATGTAGTGTCTCTACTTTAAAGAGTCCTCTCCTGCTGATGGTCAGGTGTATATCAGTATGTAGTGTCTCTACTTTAAAGAGTCCTCTCCCGCTGATGTTCAGGTCTATATCAGTATGTAGTGTCTCTACTTTAAAGAGTCCTCTCCTGCTGATGGTCAGGTGTATATCAGTAAGTAGTGTCTCTACTTTAAAGAGTCCTCTCCTGCTGATGTTCAGGTGTATATCAGTATGTAGTGTCTCTACTTTAAAGAGTCCTCTCCTGCTGATGGTCAGGTGTATATCAGTATGTAGTGTCTCTACTTTAAAGAGTCCTCTCCCGCTGATGTTCAGGTCTATATCAGTATGTAGTGTCTCTACTTTAAAGAGTCCTCTCCTGTTGATGTTCAGGTGTATATCAGTATGTAGTGTCTCTACTTTAAAGAGTCCTCTCCTGCTGATGTTCAGGTGTATATCAGTATGTTGTGTCTCTACTTTAAAGAGTCCTCTCCTGCTGATGTTCAGGTGTATATCAGTATGTAGTGTCTCTACTTTAAAGAGTCCTCTCCTGCTGATGTTCAGGTGTATATCAGTATGTAGTGTCTCTACTTTAAAGAGTCCTCTCCTGCTGATGTTCAGGTCTATATCAGTATGTAGTGTCTCTACTTTAAAGAGTCCTCTCCTGCTGATGTTCAGGTGTATATCAGTATGTTGTGTCTCTACTTTAAAGAGTCCTCTCCTGCTGATGTTCAGGTGTATATCAGTATGTACTGTCTCTACTTTAAAGAGTCCTCTCCTGCTGATGGTCAGGTGTATATCAGTATGTAGTGTCTCTACTTTAAAGAGTCCTCTCCTGCTGATGTTCAGGTCTATATCAGTATGTAGTGTCTCTACTTTAAAGAGTCCTCTCCTGCTGATGTTCAGGTGTATATCAGTATGTTGTGTCTCTACTTTAAAGAGTCCTCTCCTGCTGATGTTCAGGTGTATATCAGTATGTACTGTCTCTACTTTAAAGAGTCCTCTCCTGCTGATGGTCAGGTGTATATCAGTATGTAGTGTCTCTACTTTAAAGAGTCCTCTCCTGCTGATGGTCAGGTGTATATCAGTATGTAGTGTCTCTACTTTAAAGAGTCCTCTCCTGCTGATGTTCAGGTGTATATCAGTATGTAGTGTCTCTACTTTAAAGAGTCCTCTCCTGCTGATGTTCAGGTCTATATCAGTATGTAGTGTCTCTACTTTAAAGAGTCCTCTCCTGCTGATGGTCAGGTGTATATCAGTAAGTAGTGTCTCTACTTTAAAGAGTCCTCTCCTGCTGATGTTCAGGTGTATATCAGTATGTAGTGTCTCTACTTTAAAGAGTCCTCTCCTGCTGATGGTCAGGTGTATATCAGTATGTAGTGTCTCTACTTTAAAGAGTCCTCTCCCGCTGATGTTCAGGTCTATATCAGTATGTAGTGTCTCTACTTTAAAGAGTCCTCTCCTGTTGATGTTCAGGTGTATATCAGTATGTAGTGTCTCTACTTTAAAGAGTCCTCTCCTGCTGATGTTCAGGTGTATATCAGTATGTTGTGTCTCTACTTTAAAGAGTCCTCTCCTGCTGATGTTCAGGTGTATATCAGTATGTAGTGTCTCTACTTTAAAGAGTCCTCTCCTGCTGATGTTCAGGTGTATATCAGTATGTAGTGTCTCTACTTTAACCTGTTTCACACCTTCCCCCCCGGTACCGGGCGGATAAACGCGTCATTTGCAGGAAACAACGTCTAAGGAATCTTAATATTGAATAAAACTATGAATGTGTTATATCCATGTAACGGGAAGAAACTCAGCTAACTGATCTTTTTAATTTTTTTTTTCAAAAAAAACCCACAATGCTAGCACTCAGCCTCTGAATTAGCCTCGACGAAAAAACGTAACCTACAAAGGCACATAAACTCACTCAGAACTCCCTTATTACTTATCCTAGATGCACAACCAAACACTCTTTTTGGTGTCCCTGGAGACACTGAATCTACCGGTGCCCACCTCAACACTCAGTGATAAACATTCGCGACGCTCTAAACGAAAGCGTACATCATCACATGTGGAGCTAAGAAGCTAAACACGTAAATATGGCTTACCTTGGTCAAAAGTGGTCTTCAATGGCATTAAAACGATAAAAAAAAAAAAAACGATGCTGCAGTTAATCCATAGGTTCATCCTATGTGTCTGTGCCTTCTTTGAAATTATTTCTGATAATCCATAAGCAATAAAACTGCTTTTTAGTTTCCAAACTCCAGAAGGAGACATTCCTCCACTTTGGTTTCGTTTTCCACACGCGAAGCAACCACATTTTTTCTTTACAACGTGTCTGGGTGGGAGCCTCCCCCTTCGATTCTATTGGCTCTAACGGTCACAAGGGTATGTCAACCAACCAAATCGAGCAAGGGGGGCCAGAGATAGGTCAAATCCACCCAAATGACCCCAGATGGCCCAGTTTTTGGCTAAATCTCTCTAAAAAGGTCAAATTTCACTTGTTTTGCATCAATCTTGATACAGGGTACTTATTATATGTTGTACTTTGGATTCCTAAAGCTTTTAGTCTACTAACACATCATCCAAGGGTAGTTTTCACTATCTGTAAAAAATAATTTTTGGACGGACACTATAATTTACAGTTTTTTACTATGTAAAATCTGAATTTTCTTTAAAATAAAAAACATTTATATTGATTCTGACACTTCTACATCCAACTCACAGGTTTATCATTACTTTGAGAAAAAAGATTATTAATTTAACCCTTTTAGAAGGGAAGATATGGTCATCTGTTCTGGGAATGTCATTTTCGAGCCTGAGACCTGAAAAACAGGCTCAGAGTGGAACAGGTTTTAAAGAGTCCTCTCCTGCTGATGTTCAGGTGTATATCAGTATGTAGTGTCTCTACTTTAAAGAGTCCTCTCCTGCTGATGGTCAGGTGTATATCAGTATGTAGTGTCTCTACTTTAAAGAGTCCTCTCCCGCTGATGTTCAGGTCTATATCAGTATGTAGTGTCTCTACTTTAAAGAGTCCTCTCCTGCTGATGGTCAGGTGTATATCAGTAAGTAGTGTCTCTACTTTAAAGAGTCCTCTCCTGCTGATGTTCAGGTGTATATCAGTAT